CTCAGTGGTCTAAAGCACCTACTTAGAACAAGCTTAGCGGAACACAGGGACAGCGGTTCAATCCCCCAGCACCACATGCCAGCCAGCCCCGCCCCCTGGTGGGCTGAGCTGGCCACACACACACACACACACACACACATAAATAAATAAAATTAATTTAAAAATAATAAAAATAATTCATTAACTTGAATGTGGTGGCATACAACTATAATCCCAGCTGCTCATGAAGCTAAGGCTCTGAAGACCAGGTCCTTAAAAATATCATTTATAAAGTTCAGCATAGTGGTGCACACCTGTAATCCAAGCACTTGGAAAGTGAGTCCGGAGGACTATCATGAGTTTGAGGCCAGCCTGGGCTACACAGCAAGATAATGTCTCAAAAACACTAAAAAGAAGAGGGCCAATGAGACAGCTCAGCATTCTATTTTTTACTTATTTATTTAGTTTTTGGCAGAACCAGGGATTGAACTCAGACCCTTGCACTTGCCAGGGAAGCGCTTATTCCACTGAGCCATCTCCCCAGCCCCTTAGCTCAGCATTCTAAAGTGCCTGCTTAGGCAATCTTAGGCAAGCACACAGGGACTATGGTTCATAAGGGCCAGGGAGATGGCTCAGTGAAATAAGTGCTTCCCTGGCAAGCACAAGGGCCTGATTTCAATCCCCAGTTCTGCCAAAAAATAAAATAAACCGTGTCAAGGGACTATGGTTCAATCCCTGGCACCACATGCTTCACCAGCCCTACCCCCAGGGTGAACTGAGCTGGCCACCAAAAAAAAAAAAAAAAAAAACAGGAAGAAGAAAAGGAGGAGGGACAAGAGGGAAGGAGGGAAGGAGACAAGAAGAAGGAGGAAGAGGAAGGAGAGATCACGCACGGTTTTATTCAGCTGTCAGATGTAGTGTGAGTGCTTCAACTGAGTCCTGGAAGCTACCCTTCCCCTTCTGCTTGTGAAACAAGGCTCCCAGGAGTGACAGAGCTGCCCCCCACCAGCCCAGCCTCCTCCACTGGTCTTTGGAGGCTTTGCCTTCCCCCTATCCAGGTTGGTATTGAGGGCATGGATTAAGGGCGTCTTAGTTTGTTATCTGCAGCTGTAAATGAATACCACATATTGGGCAATGTGTGAAGAATAGAGGTTTACTTAGCTTACAGTTGTGGAGGCTGGGGAGCCCAGAGCAGGATGCTGACATCGGGCCAGGGCCTTCATACTGCATCCTAACCCAGCAGAAGGGCAGGCAAGCGTGAACGACCTGGGCCAACCACAGGGTGAGCAACCCAGGCCAACCACATCTGTTTTATTGGGAACCTAATCCCTTGATGACCAACCCACTCTTTTGGCTTGAGCCCATCCATGACCACAGTGTGCCCTTGACCTAAACAATTCTTTAAAGCTCCAACTCTTTATAGGATAACAATGTCAATTAAATTTCAACCTGAATTTTAGAAGGGACATCCAAACCATACGGGGGCAAACAAAAGGCCTGGCCCAAAGAAAGGGTTACAATTCCAGATAATGGTCCTTTCCACTAGCCCAGAACTCCCACTCAAAACTCACCCCACCTGCTGGCTCTGCCCAGCCTCTTCAGGCATCTTCAGGAACAGAAGACCACAAGGCACACAGCACTCTGCAGCACTCACACACACAACCCCTGATGCCTACAAACATGTACACACACAGACGCCTGCAGATGCACACTACTCAGGAACTTTTGCACACAAATGCAAAGGAGCAAGGCCACGCCCCAGCACAGGCCCCCAAGCACATACCCGTGCCTTCCACAGCCTCCATGTGCAGAGACCTGTTGGGTACCATTGCAGCACCTCACTTGCCCAGGTCAACACAAACAAGTGCTGTTCTTGGAGGAGGGAATCACTTCAGATATATAAAAGCCAGGGCCCTTCCCCAACAGATACAACTCAACTCTGCAGGGTCATTCTGGAGATTAGAGCCTGCTACTGAGGCAGCCCAGCACTTTCTCCCACCACAGTGTGCACAGAACACTCCCTTTCAGTCTTCCAGCCTGGGAAAGGCCCACAGGACTGATCCTGTAGCCTGACCTGAAGCAGAAACCCTCTAGACAGTGGTATCAGGGATCAAACTCAGGACCTTGCGCTGGCCAGGCAGTTGCTTATGCCACTGAGCTATCTCCCCAGCCCTGGTCAGAGTGATTTCAAAATGACAATACAAATGTTGGTAAGTACAATGATGGAAGAACCCAGGGCCTCCTTACTGTTAGAAGCGCTCTTCTCCACTCTTAAACAATAAGAGAGAGAGAGAGAGAGAGAGAGAGAGAGAGAGAGAGAGAGAGAGAGAGAGAGAGAGAGAGAAAGCAGCCCTGAGACAGCCCTTTCTGAGCTGATTCTGGAAATGGTTCCTGAGGGCCTGTCTAGGGTCAGCAGGTAAAGATAGGCCTGGAGCAGAAGGTTTAGAACTCCCTAAGCACTGGAACCTGGCAGCACTGAGGCTCTCACTCCAAGGATAAGCAGAAGGCCTAGCCCAGAGGCTGGCACACTGTTTTATTAAAACTGACTAAAAGCTGGGCACAGTGGTACAGACCTGCAGTGTCAGCCACCTGGGGGGTGAAGGTAGCCTGGGAAACTTAGCCAGACCCTGTCTCAAAATAAAATTTACAAAAGGCTCAGGGTAGTGTTTGCCTACTGTGCATGAGGCTCTGGGTTCATTATTGAGAACTGAAAAGGTATTTTTTAACTTTTTTTTTTTTTTTTTGGTGGCTGGTTTAGCCCACCCTGGGGACAAGGGTGGCACAGCATGTGGTGCCGGGGATGGAACACCAGTCCTTGCACTTCCCTAAGCAGGTGCTTAGTCAGCTGAGCTATCTCACCAGCCCTCTGCAAACATTTTCTATACACCTGTGAATAACTGTGTAGTATGGCTTTTGTATTTTAAATATTTTTCTACCAAGCAGGCTAGTGCTCTTCTATTAGCCCAGCTACTCAGGAGGCTGAGGTAGGAGGATTGCAAGTTCAAGGCCTGGCAATTTTGTGAGATCCCGTCTCAAAATTTAAATAAATAAATAATTTTTCCTTTTTTTTCATAGTAAAATTTAAAAGGGCTGATATGAATCTTGGATGTATAGCACTTGCCTAGCATGTATTGAGGCTATAGGTTTAATCCTCGGCACTGGAAAAAATATTTCTTAATGTAAATAGTGACAATTTTATGTACAGTTTTGCAACCTGTCTTTTGTTTTTGAAGTTGATCCATGTTAATATCAATTATTCGAGAGCGAGGGAGATAGCTCAGGTATGAGCATCTGCCTGGCAAGCTCAAGGTTCTGAGTTTGATCCCTCGTACCAGCAAAAATAGAAGTCAATTATTCCTGTGAATGGCTCTGTAATGCTCCATCATGCAACTATGTAACAGCACATACATTCTTTCCCCTACTGATAGGCAACTAGTTGCTTCTACAAGCAGCGCTTCCTTGACATCCTTACAAACTAGCAAGAAGGCCTCCAGAGTTTATCTATCAGCAAATACAGTTGTTGGGTTTGGGGAGGATAGCTGCTATGGATTGAACTGTGTCCCCTGAAAATATAAATGTTCCAGTTCTAATTCAGGGTATCTGTTCATGCGACTTACTTAGAAAGAGAATTTGCAAATGGAATCAAGTTAAAATGAGGCCATTAGGCTTCAGTCCTACTCTAGATGACTGGTGTCACACCCAAGAGACAGAGAGAGGGACAGAGACTAGCGTGACACATCTAACAAGTAGAACGTCAAGGATTGCAGGAAAGTGCCAGAAGCCAGGAGGGTTCAAGTGACAGATCTTCCAAGACCCCAGAAGACAAGAGCCCTGGCAACACCTTTATTTTTGGACTTCTGGCCTGTGGATCTATGAAAGAATAAATTTATGCTGTAATTTTATTTTCCTGTTTTGTGGTGCTGCTGATCAAATCCAAGGCCTTGCGCATTCTGGGCAAGTGCTCACCATGAGCTACATGCCTCTGTGGCTTCTACTGGAAGCCCAAGCAAGCCACAGCATGGTGACTCCCAGTCACGGGTGTGGGAATACCGCTCATGGCCATAGACAGAGCGTGAGCCCGGGACAGTAAGCTGGGACTGGAATGGAAAGACAAATTAAATCGCTCAATCACGGTTCTATTTAGGTTGTAGAGAAAAGTACCAGAAATTGCCTATGTTGAGAGTAGACTTGCTTGGGACTGGGGAGACAGCTTGGCAGAATAAGCATTTGCCTGGCAAGTGCAAGGACCTGAGTTCAATCCCCGGTTCTGCCAAAATAATAATAAAAAAAGAGAGAGAGAGAGAATAGACTTGTTTGATTTGTGTACTCTGTCTCAAATTCAGGTGCTTTTTCCTTTAAAAATGATTCGAGGGCCAGGGAGATGGCTCAGTGGAATAAGCGCTTCCCTGGCAAGCACAAGGGCCTTTGTTCAATCCCTGGTTCCGCCTTAAATACATATATATATATATGTATTATATTTATATATATATGGAAAAAAAAGATTCGTTCCCTTTCTACACAATTGTGAGGATCTGCCACAAACAAGTTTGTCATTAACGACCACAGGTTATTTTGTGCTTGTTAAATTAGGCCCTGCTTTCAGACATAATCGGCTAATCTCAGTTAATCTTCATAACTGGCCAACAAAATACGCCTGCTGCCCTCGTTATAACAAGGACGAGGGCACATTCGGGAAAGGAGATGCCTCGCTTAAAGAAATTCAGAAATTCGCTGACTCTTGCTAAATCAAAAGCCAAGCCCCCTGGGGTCTTAAGGGCTCTTAAAACACGGGGGGAAGGGGTCACCTGTGTCAGCCTACATTTCCCACCTTTGAAATCGTTACAGTAGCAGCCGCCTCTGCTGTCCGGCACGATGCACGGAAAGCAGCACGGCCTGCGCCCAGCGCCCAGCGCTGCCCACAAAGGCGCAGACCTGCCGCCCGGACGGTTTTCCGGGGCGTGCGCCGCCCCGCTCCCGGCCGCCAAGGGGCGCTGTGACACGGCCGGGACCCGGCACGGCCGCTCTAGCTTCGCCCAGACGAATCGCAGTCCCTGCCGGGTTCAGCAGCCCGCGCCCCGGCGTCCGCGGTCGCTCGCCCTCCGCGCTGTGCTGTCGCTACCCGCTGCCCCCTTGCCTCCCACCATGGCGCTGCTGCACTCCAGCCGCGTCCTCTCCGGCGTCGCCGCCGCCTTCCACCCGGGCCTTGCCGCCGTAGCCTCCGCCAGGGCCAGGTAAGCCGAGGGATACTGAGGCGGAGCCAGGACGTGGGCCTGCCCCGCGAGCAGCTGGCGCCCGACATCCTCCCCACGGCCTTCCAGACGCACCGCGCGTGCACACGCCCTGCCCTCCTGCGCCATCCCCTCGGGCTCCCTGCCCCGGGAGCTAAGAAGCGAGCGTCCACGCCGCGCAGCGACTCACCCTCAGAGCCCCACATGCCTACCCTCCCTGCACCGGACGACGCGCGGCTCGAAGGAAAGAAGCGCGGCACCCCCCTCCGCCCCCCCGAGCCCCCCGCGGCCCCCCGACTCCCACTCCAGGGACCAGGGATGCGGACTCCGCGCTCAGGGGTGCGGGGCGCCGGGCGAGCACGCGGGCTGCGGAGCCAGGCCAGCCCCGCGCGGATTGGCTGCGGCGCCGGGGGGGGCCCGCGCGGATTGGCTGCGGCGCCGGGGGGCGCGCGTGTCCTTGAGGGCTGGCCTGGGGGGCAGGGGGCGCCCCGGCCCTTCGTGCGCAGAGGGCTGGACTGGGCAGGGCGGACGGTGGCTGCTCCTGTTCCAGGGGCGGAAGCGCCCTGGAGGTTTGGTTCCCGGGGCGCCGCCGCACGGACCCCCACTTTTCTCGTAGCATCCGGTGACCTTGGCAGCGACACCCTCCTGTGTGTGCGGCCGCCTGAATCGCTCGTGACTCCCGGGCCCGTTTAGATGGGAAGATGCTGAGGCATCGCGCGCCTCCTTTTTTTTAAACCCTCAGAAGGTCGGCTCCCGCGGGAGCCATCAGTCTCCCTCTCGTTGTTCTGTTCTTTCATGCCGAAACTATTTCATAACCCCAGTTCCTCCGTGCCAGGCACTGGACCACATGCTGGCGGTGCCGTGGTGAACAAGACAGACTTCGCTCAAACAATGAAAATGTGTAGTTTTTCAGACTGTGATACGTAGTCCAGAGGGAAATTTAGAGCGTAAAAACGAGCTAGTAATTTCCTAGCGGAGACCAGAGCCAGACAATTAATTCACTCAGGAAGCCAATTTGTGGGGTCGGCTCCTTAAATACTGCCTAATGAGGTGCCCAGTCTGAAAGCCACCCCGGGGCGATATAACTACCAGGAGCAGAGCCTCGCCTGGCCTTTCTGCCCTCCCTTGGCCTTGCGTTTGAATGGACGCAGGAGGTCATAAGCCAGCAGAACAGTCTGTCCCTTCCAAAGCCTCACACTCCGGGGCAGGACGGGTTGGCCCCGCCTAGCACACGGTCTTCTCCCAATTTGGTTAGTTGGTGGCTTTGGTGGCGCACGGGAAACCAGCGCTCTTTAAGCCTAACTAATAGGTCAGGATTATGTGGCAAGTTTGGAAAACAAGGGAATGCCAAAAAAATTGATTTTTAATATTACAGTAGTAACCTTTAAACAGTCCCTTTTTGTTTTAGGGGTTTGGCTAGTTGGCCTGAAGCTCCAAAGTGCTTGGTGAAATTCATGTTGTGTATGACCTTTTAGTCATTCTCTCGGTTTGAGACCCTAATATTTCTTTTCTTTTTCCCATTCGAATAAGTTACATGAGAGCAGAAACCTCACCTACTTTGTTCAGTGTTGTATTGTAGCATTTGTAACAGCGTCTGGCATATCTCTCCAAAAGTTTTTTTTTTTAATTTTAAATCCTGATTTCTAAAATAAAAACATTTAATTTTACATTTTAAATGAAAATCCAAACATAAGAAACCACAGTGCTGGGCGCCAGGGAGATGGCTCAGTGGAATAAGTGCTTCCCTGGCAAGCACAAGGGCCTGAGTTCAATCCTCAGTTCCACCAAAAAAAAAAAACCACAGTGCTGCAAAAAATATGAGCAAAAGCTGGGCGTGGTGGTGCACATTTGTAATCCCAGAACTAGGGAGGCTGAGGCAGGAGGATTGCCAAATTTGAGGCCAAACTGGGCTGCATAGTGAGTTCAAGGCCAGCCTCCACTACATAGCAAGAGCCTGGCTTGAAAACAAAACACTCAAAAAAGTATGACCAACAAAGCAAGATTTTTAAATATTTGAAAAGCAGGACATAGTAGCGCAAATCTGTAATCTCAGCACTCCACAGACTGAGGCAAGTGGATCACAGTGAGTTCAGAGGCAGCCTGGGATGCATAGTGAGTTCAAGACCAGCTTGAACTACTTAGACCCTCGCCCCCATTTTTTTTTTTTTTTTTTTAATAGCTGACAATGAGGAGCTGCTGTTCAAGTTTAAACAATGCTCTAGGGTTGAACGGCATGCCAGCAGTGCCCGTGAGTGTTAATGGTCCAGGCAAGGACATCTTGTGCTCATTCCACCCTACGTGCATCTTTATCGAGAGCCCAGTGGTAAGACTAGGAAACATTTTTACCAACTTAATGCATTGAAACATTTGTTTTGTTTTGTTTTGTTTTGTTTTGTTTTGTTTTCTTTGTGCTACTGGGGATTGGACCTAGGGCTTTGGCAGTGAGCTGTATCCCTGAATCTTTTATTACTTTTTTTTTTTTGAGAGCGAGATCTTGGCTGAATTGCCCCAAGGTAACCTTGAACTTGAAATTCTCATGCCTCAGTCGCCTAAGTATGACATTGTAATCTTCTGCCATCTTGCCCAGCTCCAGTGAAATACTCAATTTTCATATTTAGAACATTTAACTAAAACTTTCTAAATTCGAGTGTTTCTTTTTTTCATAGAAATCAGGGGCCAGAGAGATGGCTCAGTAAAATAAGCACTTGAGCAAGGGTCTGAGTTCAATCCCCAGTTTTGCAAAAAAAAAAAAAAATCACTAAAGTTGTTTTGTTGACCTGTAGTCTAGAAGCGCAGTGAAATCATATCAGTAAGGAATGAGCAATATGCTAGTGTATTTTTATGTGTATTGCTAGAGAATGAACCTAAGGCTTCACGAATGCTGGACAAAGCAGTGGCTCCATCAGGGAGATAAAACTCTCTGCCTATTTTTCATTCTGATTATTTTATTTTTTTGTGAAATAACTAAGTAGTATCATAAGATTTCTTAGAAAGGCAGTCCACTGGATGTGGTGGCACATGTTTATAATCTCAGCAGTCGGGAGGCAGAGGCAGGAAGATTGCTGTGAGTTCCAGACCAGTATGGATTACACAGTGAGTTCAAGGCCACCCCGAACTGCATAGTGAGCCCCTGTCTCAAAAACAAAACAAAACCCTAGTGTGCAGTAGTGATACACTAATAGTAATTAAAAGATCAAAGTTGTGGTATGGCATTTGTGATCGTGGGCAAGTTCACTAACTTTTTTTTTTTTCCTTTTCAAAGTTTTATTCATAAACATATAGCAATGAGACAGTTTCAAATCAAATCGAAAGTACAGTTTCAACAAATAATACACTGCTGGGCTGGCGAGATGGCTCAGTGGTCTAAAGCACCTACTTGGAACAAGCTTGGCAAAGCACAGGGACCACAGTTCGATCCCCCAGCACCACATGCCAGCCAGCCTCACCCCCTGGTGGGCTGAGCTGGCCACACACACACACAATAAATAAATAAATGTTAAAAAAAAA